TTCTTTCATATTTTTCAAATATTCATGGCCTCTTTATTAAATTTAACAATTTGCAATGGAGTTGCGCCATCTTGTATCCACCCGGCAGTTCATTTCTTTTTGCAATGGTAGCCAAAATTCAAATGAATTTTCCGTGGTGAGTAACAAAAACATCAGTGCCAAAAACAAGCTCTTAAAAAGTAGCACCATGCGAACATTTGGAATTTTGTTCGCGAGCCTTTAGTTGCACTCAGAATTTTCATGTCCAAATCCTGTGAAAGGTCCTTTTGTAAACGCATTAACCGAACTTGAGCAACTCCGTCGATTTTTATTGATCGATGGAGGACGCTTATTTCTTGTTCGGACATTATACTCAATTTAAAAGGTTGTCATTGTTATTCAGAAATTATTTCCCTTTCTGGAGCATTACCTGAAACATTAGTTTCCAATGTAAGTAGCTCCGTTCAGTAGTATTCTTCTCGTTACAATTGCTTCAAATGCAGATGGAGAGGTTGTAAACTCATTGTTAGTAATATTGGAGTAAATAAACCAAGAAAGATGGGTTTTTCTCGGTTAACTCTCTCCATTTATGAGGCGTTTCAAAAATTCATCAGATTAGTTGAGTTTTGGAGGGTGTTGGTCGTCGCAGCTCCCCAAGAGCATTTTCTGAGGGGGCATAGGGCATTTTAAACTTGCCTTTTTTGGGGTCATTTCGTAGTTTACCGGACGGAGGAACGTAATTCCATTCAAGGTTGCAAATCGACCCGAGTAATTCAATTTTTCACAAGGATGTACGTGTGGAGCTTTGCATGGGTTCAATGGAAAAATCAATGACTTTTTGTGTCCGAAAGTCCCAAGATTTTCCTGGCAAAACAGCAATTTTTGGAGAGAAATTCGGCAACATTGAAATGCAGTTACGTTCTTCCGCGGGGAAAATGACAATTTTTAATCTTCTTCAGAGAATTTTTTAGCTTTATTGAAGTTTTTGCGTCTCCGCAAAGCACATTTTGCCATCTCTCAACAACTCGCCGGTCCCCTTACGTAAAAATGTAACTTTATTTCAATTTCTCCAGATTTCCCCTTGCAAATTGTATATTTTTATCAGGATAATCTTGGGCATTTTTTCCTAAAAATTTCCGAGATTTCCCCTCTGATCTCACGCAGAAATCAATAAGATTTTGGGCAGAAATCGCGCAGGTACATTTTTGTCAACAAATTCAATCGTTTTAGTAAATTTTGCAACCTTGGAATAAAGTTACGTTTCTCCGTGCGGAAAACGACGAACAGATACCCCCCTTTCCCAAAATTTCGCTGAAATCGCCTTTTCCCTCTCGGAAAGACGTAGCTGCATTTCAATGTTGCCAAATTTCTTATCGCCAATCTCATTTTTACCAGGAAAATCCTGGGCATTTCTAACTGAAAATTTCACCAATGTTTCTTCCGATCTCTTGCAAAAATCAGAATAATTTTGCACAAAAGTTGCACTGGTGTACTCTTGTTAAAAAAATTTGATTGTTGGAGTCAATTTGGCAACTTTGGAATGGAGTTACGTTTCTTCGTCCGGGAAACGTCGAAATGACCCCCCGCACTGCAGCCGCTCTCGCGGTAACGCGGTAGGATGGATGCATGTCGACTGGAAGAAAACTGCATACAGTGCCCGGTCGGAAACATGAAGTCACAGCTCGCCGTCGCACAGTGGATCTAGTCAATCAGAGAGGTCGGACATGAAATTCTTGACCAAAACTGCAAATTTTGACGTTTATTACGTCACATTTTAAATTTCAAAGGATGATCCTGGAAGCAAATTTCACGAGGAAACCAATAGAGCCACTTGCAGAACCTCAAAGTTTTGTATAAACGGAGTTACAAGCGTTTAAAGTTTCCAAATTTTGTCCGATCTCTCCGATTGACTCGATCCACTGTGCGTCGCCGAGACCCGTTAAGCATCGAACAGTCAGAACTGTTGATTGATCGGGTCCATAAAAATGGCATTCCGCAGCGTTACAGAGTCGGGAGTCGGGTGCATAATTTTATCCGCTCACAAAATACGCCAGCGACAGTCTGCGCCGAGCCCATTTCCACACGATTGTCAAACCGAGCCGAGCTTTTCCCGCACGTCCAGTGCAGCACCGAGCCGAGCTTTCGATATATCGATCGATCTCCCATTTAAACCTGTGGAAAAGGATCGATAAGCAGATCGATCTGAGTAATCGATTCTTTACCACGGCTTTAAGTAGGGAAATATCGATGATTGGTCCGGCGATGTGACAACTCGGCCGATTCCCACGATCCGGCAATTTTACAGCCGCTGCCAAATAGACCCATTAGCCGTGTACAAAGTCCGGATTACATCGGGCACCGTACGCAATTTTTATTTCCTGTAAACGCAGTCCGGAGAGCTTTTTCGATTTCGATACACAAAGCTGCGGGATCGCCCATGTGCAGGGTGTTATAGGATTAAACCCGCCAGATTTGTGAAATTGATAGACAAAGCTATAGATGAAAAAGATGAAGGGTTATGGAGGGATCCTATTGGTGGAAGCGGGTGGGTGTAGTGGACAAAGGAGGTACACTGGAAAAAAAAAACACATTGGATCTAGAGTCCAGACTCTTGAAAACATTGACAAGATAAAGTGCTCTTGATTCGATCAGAATCTAGCTTAAATCAAGAACCAAGCCTCTTAATATGGGCGGATTTCGTTTTGATTCAAGCAAAATCCGAAAAAGATTCTTAACAACATCGACAAGAAAGAGTACTCTTGATTCAATCGCAGAATCTAGCCTAAATCAAGAAGCAAGCCTCTTAATTTAAGCGGATTTCGTTTTGATTCAAGCAAAAATCCGATTGAATCAAGAGTATTTTTTCTTTTCAATGTTTTCAAGAGTCTGGACCTTAGATCCAATGTATTTTTTTTTCCAGTGCACACCGGGCCTGTTGCAAACTTCAACCAGAGCAAAACGAAGAGTTATTTCTTAAAGCAGGCACTGGGAAAAAAAAACACATCGAATCTAGAGTCCAGACTCTTAAAAACATCGACAAGAAACAGTACTCTTGATTCAATCAGAATATACCTTGCCTCTTAATTTAAGCGGATTTCGTTTTGATTCAAGCCCAAATCCGATCGAATCTAGAGTATTTTATCTTGTCAATGTTTTCAAGAGTCTGGACTCTAAATCCAATGTGCATTTTTTTTGCAGTGTAGGTAATAGACTAACTAACGGTAACCTACGGGCCCTTCAGTTAGTCAATCTGTTTCTCTCTTAGCCTATAGGAACCAACCATTTCAACCTAAAGGATAGACTAATTAACGGTAACCTACGGACCCTTTAGTTAGTCCATCGATTTCTCTCTTAGCCTATAGGAACCAACCGTTTCAACCAAAAGGATATCTCCCTAAATTTTTTTTTTTAACTTGAGATTTCTATATTTTTGAGGCCACAGATAAATGCAGCGCTAAAAATCATATGAAAACGTCATTTTGCCATTTGGTCACACCAAGTCAGAATAAACGATGATTTTCCCTTAAATGTAGGTTCCGTAGTTGATCAGGCTGATGGCAGCAATCGTATTTGATCCAGACGACTTGTAAATAAAATTAGGTTGAGATTTGATCGTGAAAGAGCCAAAATCGGAAAGCTTGGGTCCAAAAAAATGGAGGGTCTTGCGGCCTAGCAGAGAGAAATGAGCCCTTGTTCCTGATTGTTTACTCTCCGCACGGCTCACCTCTTTGAATCAGTTAGTGAGGAAAATGTAGTAGGTCCAAACGTGAACCCTTGAGGTGTCTATTTTAGTCTATCGGTATTTCTACTTGCACTAACAGTATCAACAGTCATTGTATTGGCAACTTTTACACTCTATCATGCCATCGTTTGAACTTTTTATTTCACGATATTTCTTTTCTAAACTACATTTCTTGTCATTAACGCTTTTAAAGAAAATCAGAAGTTATAATCCAATTCCAAATTTCAAATGCCCTCCTTTCAAGGAATTTTTATTTTTTTATCTCGAACGCATACTCGTCCTAGATAATAACATCCACAGGAAATGGATGTAAATTGAGAGATTGGAGGACAAGGCGCATGCATATAGTTTTTGAAAATTGAAATATTAATGATTTCAACCACAACCAGTCTTGAAGTATATTCTGTAAAAAGTTCAAAACTAAAATCCAACTTTAAAGCATCAAAAAGTGAGTTTAAACTTCCTTTCCGCCATAAGGCGCCTCATAATTTCGAAACTCTAAACACGTATTTTTTGGAATAGCGAAAACTGCTCTCGTCCTCCAAGCGCCTCATTGCACTCTTCTTGCTAAAAAAAAGTTTTGCTTTTATTTATTCCGACTGGATTTCTTGCATTTTGTTGTTTTCTGTGCATTTTCATTGATTGCTGGATTGTAAATTCAAAGTTGCCAATTCTTTAGTTTTTAAAGTTTTTAACATCACCTATACCTCTTTTGAATTTGCGTTTTTTTGTGTCTTTTTCTATGAAATTTCTAAATTCTTTAATCTTTTTCTCTCTTTTTTGGGTGCATTTTAATTGTGTTTGTTTTATCAAGTGCTTGATATTTTTAATGAGCTTCAGCAGAGTGTTCCTGCCTCATAAGATTATTACATTATTACTGATTTCTCAGTATTTTTGTCTGGAAAAATTATTTTCTCAATCCCAAACACAAATCTAAGCTATTGTCATTTCGCTTGACTTGTACAAAGTATTTGGAAATCACTATTTTTAATTACCCACCCATCCTTTTTGCATTCGTGAATTTATGAATTTATTCAGCGTCAGCTAGCTCTCCCAAGATTTCAGTTTCCTTAATTCATGATTTTTCTTTCTCGATTTTTCCCCACACAACGCTTCTAAGTTTGATTCTTTTAGCTTTGTACGCAGTATAACAGTAATTACTCCATTTTTTTTTAAGAGAGAGGAGTTTACCCTCAGAAAGATTTCCACGATTTATTGTATGTATGTATTTGTGAAGTTTTCTGTATTTAACTAATGGTAATTTGTTTTTGTGTTTCAGGCAACTAATCCTTTAGTTCAAACTCATCATAGAACAAAATCCAGTCCAGATCAAATTAGCAATTTACTTGGCAATCTTTCTCTATCTGAAGGTATCATCATCCCTCTTTGTAATTGTAATTTCTTTGTATTTTTACGCAGCCTCATTTTCAAACTCAATTTGAATTGCTTAATATTAATGCTCGTTGTTAGAATGAGGCAGAGTTGACAATAAGTCAAATACTAAAACTCAGCTATCATCAGCAGGTTTCCTTTTTACTAGTTAGACTTGTGCTGCTTTGCTCAATATAACTCCTTTTCAGCAATTTATTTTTAGTCGCCTTTAAATGCATCAGAACTTGTTTGGTGGTAAAATCAAAAAAAGATCTGTAGAAGTCATTCAATGTTGGAAATAATTTTTAATAATTAGAGGGCAGACTATTGCAGACCCCAATGGAGGTATATTTAATTAAATTGATCCACTATTTTATGGTCTCTCTGCCAGGAAAGTTTTTATACTGTCTTATATTTTTACGACTCTCTTTAGGTTAAAACTGAACTTTTCTTTTTTTACCACCCTGTTGGATCCTCTGAAGGTTCTCTGAAGCTATTCAGTAAATCATTCATTCGGAAATTTTTAATTAATAGTTCAGTACTTCAAAATTGATGTTGTCAATACGTAAAGGAGGAATGTACAAAGTTCCTTTGTCATAATTTTATACTTTAAAATGATCCCTCTAGTTTGTGTATGAAGCCTTGAGAATTAATTAATACCAAAGAAGTCTATTTTTATGGCTAAAGATGCGTACCTCAGATAGAGATGTTTTAAGTAGCCGCTCTATTTTCACGTTTCTTAATTAAAATTAATCAGCACTTTCTTTCGAAATTTTCGGTGAATTTTCTTCCCTCACTCCAATAAAACTTCACAAAATTTCCAGAAAAAAGTTTGGTTAGCTTCTATTGATGAAAATAAAACATTATTGGAGATTTTCATACATTGTAATGGAGATACGCGTATTTAGTATTTAGCCATCAAAAATGGTATCGATATTATGTGCAGATAGACTCTTTTGCTTTCCGATTAACTTGGTATTGTATTTAAAAGTATCTCTTTTTTTTGCAGCTTCAAAGCGACTGATAGCATCAGAATCCATATCAGACCTTAGCCTAGGAACAAAACGAGCAAAGTCAGGCGTTGTATGTGATGTAGACTCTCCAAGGATAACACCACCAGGGACGCCCCCTCCACCTTATCCAATCCCAGTGACGGCGCTACCTGAGTCAACCGCAGATCCAGTTAGTCCCCTGCAACAAGATGATCCAGATTCATCCAGAGGAGAGGTAATGCAATTATTGGTTCGCCAATATTGATTTAAAATGACACAAAAGCACAAATCAAGCACTTTCAGTTTGGTTTTATTGGATTAGGTGTTATTTAGCATGATAAGAGAAATTCTTGATATAAAATGAGGGAGCTTTTTCACACAAGTCATGTCATTAAAAATTTAATTTTTTTTTTTTTAAATCAACTCACTTGCGACGAAAGTCTTTCGGTATTGGCAGACGCGTTTCAAGCTATAGCTCATTATTGGTGCGACTCATGGTGCGAGTGGCACCAATGATGAGCCGTAGCTCAAAACACGTCTGTCGATACCATAAGACTTTCGTTGCAAGTGAGATAATTTTTTAAACAAGTTTTTAAATTTTTAAGAGAAATTCTTATCTCGGAGTTTCACTGAAATGTTTTACAGAATGAAACAACTCATAGTAGTAGATCTATTCCCTTATAATAATTTTCACCTATTATGTCTGATTGTGTAAAAGACATGGACTGACTCCAGACAGGATTCAGAGATTTGAGGTGTCCAAAAATAGTAATACTCATGTAGAGCCATCAGAAACCGATAAAATAATCATTTTTATCACAATGGGCCTGTTGCAAACTTTTGCTAGAGCAAAACTAAGAGTTTTTTCTTATAGATAATGCCTCAAAAATTATGATGAGCGCATCGGCAAAGTCTGAAATGCACTCATAACTTCACAATCTGCGTAAGAAATTTGTGGTTTTTTGAGCTTCCCGCTTCAAAAACGATACTACGGCACAGGTGAACATTTTGTTAGAGGAGTTGTTCCATCGTCGGCAATACTCATCATGGCCAATGCCAATCCGCCAGAACAAGTGTGATGGAACGAGATAACACCTGAACCGGATTAGACCAGATAACAATCGGCGTGTTTACGTTCATATTTTCCTCGCCCGCCTTGATTGACCTTGAACTCTCCTCGAAATATGCGCAGAACCGCGTAAGAGTCGGCCATGATGAATATTGCCGACGATGGAGCGACTCCTCTAACAAAACGTTTACCTGTGCCGCAGTATTGTTTTTGAAGCAGGAAGCTAAAAAAAAACCGCAAATTTCTAATGTAGATTGTGAAGTTATGAGTGCATTTCAGACTTTGCCGATGCGCTCATCGTGATTTTTGAGGCATTATCTATAGGAAACAACTCTTATTTTTGCTCCAGCAAAAGTTTGCAACAGGCCCATTCCAGATGAAACTGAGAGAGAAAGAAGAGGGATGATAAAACAGTGGAAGACATTCATTTGTTGAACCCTTTCAAAAGAGTTAATAGATTTTTAAACGGTATCTGAAAATTCTTCATCTCTATGGGTGCCATATTGATATGGATGTCCTAAGTTTGAAACCTCATATCTTTGTTGGGTTGTTTCAAAATGTCCACTCCTATTTTATTTTTTCAACGAAAAACAAGCCAACTTTATAGCTTCTAATTTGTACAGAATATTCTGCTAACAGACTGGACAAATTAAGGAGCTTTCAAGAAATTATGCCGACTAGTTTTCCAAAGAAAAAATACAGTATGACAGGGAGTATGTAATGTCGCAAACGGAGATATTTGGTTTTTGCTATTTGACTATCGATGTAAGCACAGGTATCAAAAGATTTTTCACCTTTGCTCATCAGTTTAGTCCATCTTTCAATCAAGTTTAACTTGTTACTCAATTATTTTCCCCATCAAGGAGTATAAATATTCGGATTTTGATGTCTCTATTCTGTCTCTTTCAGCCGCCTCCTACCGATAGTGGACAGCTGGAGGCTTCTCCAGTCAAAACGAATCATGGTGCTTTTGTTACTCAACAACCTATAATTTCAATGGAAGACGATGAAATGTCTGATCAAGAAATGGTAAGTTTAAATCTTTTTGATCAATTATCAGAAAGATGCTAGTATTTATGTGATACAGCAAGGTTGAATATAGCTCCAGGTGGAAAATAAAATTATTCAGTACAGAACAAAAACCAGTTTTGGATTGACGGAATCTATGCTAATCACTCTCAAATACTCGCAGGAACATCAGGTCAATAGTTCCAGCCCTAATTTGTATCATTCATCAATGATTTTATAATTATCTGAAGTAATATACAACCTGTAACGACCCCATTATTCCCTGTTTCTAATCCACATACTCTGCCAAAGTTTTCTCTTTGGTAGGGTATGGAATCGATCGAAAAATGAAAACGTGAATCGGACACCGATTTGATCGACATATTGTTAAAAAACCGGTATCGATTCGATCAACATGAATCGATTGAAAAATAAAAATGTGAATCGATTGACACCGATTCGATCAACTAATTATTATAAAACCCTTGTCGATTCGATCGACACCGATTCGATCAACAAATTATTCTAAAACCGGTGTCGATTCAATCGGCATGAATCGATCGAAAAATGAAAACATTATTCGATCGACATGAATCAATCGACACCGATTTGATCGACAGTTAATTTAAAAACACCCGTATCGATTCGATCGACATGAATGGATCGAAAAATGAAAACTTGAATGGATCGATGTGAATCGATCGACACAGATTCGATTGACTCACGGGTTTGTCAATAGATTCACGGGTTTGTCGATCGATTCACAGGTTTGTCGATCGACTCACAGCTTTTGTCGATCCATTCACGGCTTTTGTCGATCGATTCATGGGTTTGTTGATGGACTCATGCCTTTTGTCGATCGATTCACGGTTGTTGATTGAATCGGTGTCGATCGATTCACGTTTTTATTTTTCGATCCATTCATGTCGATCGAATCGACACGGGCGTTTAAATTAACTGTCGATCGAATTGGTGTCAATCAATTCACGTTTTAATTTTTCGATCAATTCATGTCAATCAGATCAATTCATGTCGATCAGATTGATTCATGTCGATCGGATCGGTTCATGTTGATAGGATCGATTCATGTCGATCGGATCGACACCGGTTTTTTAATAATTTGTTGATTGATTCACTTTTAATTTTTCGATCGATTCATGTCGATCAAATCCATACCCTCCTTTTCTTTGCACCAAATGATTCAGAATTTATCTAACATTATTTGACAATTTATCTTAATTCAATGGCTTTTGTTTTCAGAACCAGTTAGAAGATCATGGCCCTTTCAAAAGCCTATCAAAATTATGGGAACATAATGCACATTTAGCTGTCTTCATGAATTATGTGATATCAAATAGTGATCCATCGAGTTTGGTAAGTTAATTTCTTTCAATTCCTCGTTTTTCAGTATTCAAGCCATCAATAGTAAAATCGCTCATTTCCGGAGGTTGTAAGGATTTTCAGAAACCAGCGACAAAGAGCATAATTTTTAGGCTGGGAACTTAAATTTCATTCTAGTTATCTGATTTTGAAGAATGTTTGCTCTGAGTTCGGTGGAGGGTGCAGTTAGGAATAGTGAGCCACATACTTTTGTTGAAGGTAAATAACTTAGATGGCATTTTTAGTTTAGGATTTTTCAACGTAGAATTAGTAACATAACACCTGTAATGTGGTCAGCACTAAAGGCACGGCACTTAAGGTGTGTGATGGGCATGACCAAAGTCAGATCCATGCAAGTTGATGGTCATGTCAACAAATAGGATCAGATGATTGGTGTCGGACTCCCTTACTGTGGGGTCTGTGTAATGCTTTAGGTGCAATACCTTAAATGATAAACCATAAAGTAAAAACCAACATTTCAAACAAACTTAATGTTTTTTCAGTCTAGCCATTTGTAATTTTGATGTTTCTAGAGTACTTCTCGTCTTTTCATCTCAGCCTGAACTTAATCATAATTTTTATCTTCTTTTTGAATCCATATTGACGATATAAGTCAGCAATCACATAACTTGGTTTGCGACGTCGCACACTTCCTGTCATACTTCATTTTTAAAGAGTAAACTACTCGACGGCAATTCTTTAAAACTGCCGTGATTTGTCTACTCCGTGCGAAGAAAATTCTGCAAAAACTTCAAGGAATGATGTCAATTTGTTCCCCTTTAAAAAAATAACATGGAGGCCGAGATTTTCAGACACCGCAAACGAGTTATGTGATTGCCGACTTACACCGTCGATATGTATACAGACATATTGAATTTTGTCAAAATAATAGTTTGCAAATTTCTGTCCCACTACCATCATTTAACATTCATTTGCTGTTTTTTCGCCCTTACAAATATTGCTTTTTTAATTGACCGTCAGTAAATCTTTCTCTCTGATTTCAGCTTTTCTACCTTGTAACGGATTTATACAAGGAAGGAAATGCAAAGGAGATGAAAAAGTGGGCGTATGAAATTCACTCCAGTTTTTTGGTTCCTGGGGCTGTAAGTATCAAGTTTTGCATAGTTCACCTCTTCTCGAATTTAATGTGTAAATTGCTAAACATGATAAGCGTTTATGTCAAAGTGGTGATGTGCTTGTTCTACTTTTCATAATTTATTCCATTACCAAAAAAACCAAGGCTTCAGAAGATTGTCGGTGGTTTCTTTGTTGACATCAGGAACGAGTACAAAATTAGATACCAGACTGATTTAGTGACTTCCTCAAAGTTTTATATCACAGTTTTGATAGTCCAAATACAGGCACATAACCTTGTTGTATATGCGCTATGGTGGTAAAATCGTCCGCATATTTCTTGCAGTCAAAATTGCTCATGTTTAATGAACCATCAATTGATTTGTGACTTATTGGTAGCAAAATTTTAATGAATCAATAAATAGACTCACAGAATTTGGACATGAGTTTATGTTCTACTGTTTGAACCATTGCAAATTGATATGTTGCGTATGGTAGAAATGACACAGCCACTTAATCTGACTACTTCCAAATTATAGAAGGTAGCCTTTGTATAATAATTAAAAAAAAAGTGAGAACCACAATCAAATTGATAACATAGAGCCCGATAGGCATGTTTTCTCCACTTTGCAATATGTACTGATGCAGTCTTCCACAAGTACTTGAAGCCTGATTTTTGTGACCAATGTTTTTGGTAAACACTTCCCTTAAAAAGGAATGGCTTCATTGACGATTTGTGTTTATATGTTTAAATCTGAACTATGATAAGGTATAAATTCAACAACTTAAGGAGCTATTTGAGAATAATCGCATTGTGCACCATTATTATTAACCTTGTCCTTCCTAAGATCATTTTCTTACATAATCTTTATTGTTTTGACTTGTTACTACCCAACAACTGCAAGTACTCTTACATGGAATAACTGATTTGAAAATTATAATAGGCATCCATCAGAGGTGTCGTTAACTAAGTTGGCACTTGTTTACATTCTCTTCGCAAGCGACCGCAATGTACTCGTCGAATAGGGATCGAGGATTGACTACGCTCAGGATCAGATAGCAGTCAATCCTTGATTGCTATTAGACAGTTGCATCGCAATTGCTTGATTGCGGAATGTACACAAGTGCCAACTTAGCTGTTGGCACAAATAAAGTGTGGACCCAGCTTTATTTTACCATATTCTTACTGACAACACCCGTATATTATTTCAACATGGCTTTTATCAGAGATCTTGCATTCATAAATTTCTATCGACTTTAACTTTTCAAGAGAGGTAACTATTACAACTCGGTAAAGTAAATCTTATTGGAAGAAAAAATTGACCTCTTAGGCAGGTCCTAGCTTGTCAGATTAAATATCTAATTATTTTCTCATCATTTGATTGTCTCTTTTCAGCCGCTAAGACTGAATAATGTAGATGAAAATGTTGCTCGAGAAATAGATGAGGTCCTACTGAATGAGTCGGACCGAGAGGAGATTCTAAGAAAAGTAAGTCGCTCAGGTTTCAGTTAAATTTATGCTTAATTTGTCAGCAATTTCTTTTTCTTTTATGTTCAGTTTTTATCTCTCTCTTTTTATTGTGCCTGTTTCATCTTAATATTTGAACATTCTCGCTCCGCTGAAATTTGAATTGTTGATTATATGAAGTATGCACGTTCATGGACTGAATGATTTACTTCCTAGCCCAGTCCACTCTTGTCTTCATCAGGCCCATGTCTCTCTACTTAACGACTACTTAAGGAATAGAGGCCATTAGGCTCACCTTTCAGTAACACGAATTGATGATTACCAAAATAAATGTCATGAACCTGCATTATGAGGCATATTCTCATATTAGAAGGTAAAGACATGTACGTCGTACAATCAATGAGGTAGGCGTATTTACTTCACATTCTTAATCACAGGATCGGACTTTAATTCTTTTTTCTATCCAAAGATAAATCCAGAATAATGCAAAAGGCACAAATGTTTGATATTTTATCATATTTTTCTAATTTTTCTCCAACAAAGTCACCTCTAATGTCCCAAACTGAAAATTTGTAAGAATGTATTATGTGCTTGTGGAGAATTTGTCTACATTTTTCAACAAATTTGTGAAATCCAGGTTTGTTGTGTATTTCCAAGTTTTTCCTGATTAGCTCAACTTTTGTTATCCTTAGATATTCTGGAAAGCACGTGTGAAAGCCAAAGAAGAACTGAATGAGCAGCTTGCAGATTTCCAGCAAACCCGTACGGCTGGTCTTGGAACGTTGTTTGGTCCAACTGATGCTCAACTGGACGAAACAATCCATGATAAGAACAAAGAACAAAAAATTATTGAACAAATTCTTATACCAAAGATGGAACCCTTCATGTGAGTCAAACATGTCTTAAGTGGTCTAAATAGGTTCATTTACTTGAATTTTCTAGAACACTTTTTATATATTTTACATAATAGTTGAATAGGAAAATAAGCGTATCTTACGTCGATGCTCCGTTCTCCTGGATCAGAGTGTGATTTTCATCCCTGCATAAAACATTTTCAAAATTTAATCCCCTAAATTTTAAAGCAAAAGAATTGAACTTGTTTCCAAGAGAAGCAAACGGAAGATAAATCTTCAAATTGCCATTCAAACACTGTTACAGAATTTATTTCTCTAGTTGTTTGTCTGAGACCACACAGTCCCATCCGACAGACAGTATGTGATACCTAGGAAATGAGATGTAGGTATTCTTATCTTCCATTATTTCCTGAGAACTACTAGGGGGAGTAATGTTTATTTACGTTTCAAATACATAATTGAAATCTAATGCAGCCGCCATTATCAGTGTGGTAGTTAAACATCTATCAGCATGAACGAATCACAGAGCATAACATCAGACCTGCCTATTCCCATTTGTTCCTGGAGGCTCTGTAAATGCTCAACATTTACCTTGGTCTGCGAATCATTGGTTTACAGAACCTTAAAACTCTGAATCAAGCCCAACATAAAATATTGAATCTCAAGATTGAATTTTGCGGGTCTATCTAATCCGTAAATGTAATTTGCTCAAGGTTCAAGGTTACTCATCTCGTTTGTGTTTATTTCTCTACAGTGAGGATATGGAGCGTGAAGTAGTGGATGATCGTAGGTTTACAATGGCTGCTGCTCTTGGCACAATCATGGGCAAAGTTTTTGGCGTTCGTGGTCAGCATTTCAGTTCACTTCTAGACCGGTGTCCAACGTTCGTTTCGAAAGAGAAGTCATTAAAAGCAAGGCTCATTGGTCGTTCCCGGAAAGTAAGACTACCATTTCTATCCCCAATTTTTTAATCCTAACAATCTTTTGCATCGCCTAATAATTTTGACGGTTCTTGTCAAAAGGATGAACGTCAAAAAATAAATTTGCTACGTAATGAAAACAAGTTCAGATTCATCCTTGGCACTTTTATACCAAAGTTCTATCCACCTCATAAATTTTTACTGTGTATAGCACAGTAAAGGACCTATTTCATCTTCATCTATTATATCAATGGTGGATACCTGCAGCATAGATTCATCTTATACGTAAAATTGGAATACCCAAGCAATTTATCTTATAAAACTGAGTTTTTTCAAATTACTGATTTTAGGTGAGGGATGATGTTATGAGGGAGTTTCCCCTTGATTTTCTCTTTTTGTTCAATGTGTATCTATTGGATTTTGGACATGGAATTTCAGGTTAACTCTTGGAAGTCTTTGACAAGTCTTTAACAAAAAACAGTAGTCAAAACAGTTGAATACCTTTAAACAGTATTTTATCTGTGAATGAGATAAATGCTACTAGAATTCATTCTTCTGCGAAAGAATTGACCAGACTGCAGAGTGCATAACTTCAAAATGCACCTCTTGATCACTATTCAGAGAAATAGCTTTTTGTCAGATTTAAATAAATTGTCACAGATTGCAGTCTTTCTCAATTACATACTGAGTTTATTCTCTGAGGTTGGAGTTTTCTAATTCAAGCACACAGAGAATAGACAGTAAAACTGCAAAAAGCAAATCTCATCTATATCGTTCCAGAATCTCCACATCAATTTCGTTTTATCTCAAAAGAAAAACTCAATATTATTGCTTGAAATTTTTACAGAATATTCTTCAAACAGAGAAAGTAAAGGAAAAGACTTTTTAAGAAATGAGGTTGAGAATATTTCCATTCAGAAAATATTTTATGACATAAATGCTGCGGCGTTCCAAACTGAGTTACGCGTTTTTCACTTTCACTGTTGTAATACTAGATCTTTAGCAGAATTTGGAGCACAAGACTTTGATGCTGATTTCATGTGCAGCCTCCATTATTTTCGAATAATTATCTTCTTTCCTCATCATCACTGGTAATCTTCTTCTATGATGTGTTTCAGGTAACTGTCCGAGGACACAATTTTGTAGCCCATCAGTATTACACAGTAACTTATTGCAACCACTGTCAACTTATCATTTGGGGAATCGGTCCTCAGGGTTATCAGTGTACTAGTAAGTTCAGTTACTCAATTTTCCTTAAAGTTTTTGTTGGAAACAATATTTAATTCAAAGTTATACCTACTTCTGTTTTTCATACTGCTGACAAAAAGCAACTCAGTAAGGTACAGCAAAAAACCTTAATGGTTTAAAAATAATGGAATATTTTATACATTTTTTTTTCTCAATAACTCATCATAGCTTTCAAACCCTACGAAAATACTTTTTGATATTGGAATGTCCTGACTATTTAAATCGTTAATGAGAATTATTCGTAGCTTTTTTCAAGTTCAAAAAGAGAAAGAAAGTTGCCAGCTTCTGGGTAATGTCTACCTCGACAGATTTGAGTGACAGCCTGGTGTTGTTCAAAAAGCGACTACTGTATATGCTCGCCGATAACCCGCACTCCAGACGTTGAGAGGGTTCAAAAAAAAATTCATGTATAACCCACATGCGCCTACGGTGTTCTGTTTAGCTCGCATTGTCAAGTAGCGCCTGATAGGTATTCAGTTTCCGTGAGTTTCACAGGTAACCCACACTCTGATTTTCGAGCGCTGAAATTGGGGGAAAAAGGTGCGAGTTATCTACAGGCGTATACGGTAATACATACATGCTTTTCAAATTCTAGTCATTGAAAGTAATAAATATAAATGAGTCAGTGGTACCTATTTTTTAAATGTACAGAGAGGACCATGCTTCCAGTAATTTTTTTTAGTTTTATTTTAATCCTGAATGGCACAGACACTCCGTTTTGAAAATGTCTGAAATGAAATCTGTTGGAGACAATATTTTTGGCGGGCTCTAATGATGTAGCCAGGCTGAGGAGACGGCATTTGCTGATTGGCTGAACTCAGCTTCAGGCAGCTTGCTATGTCAAGTCAACTGTCAGCTTTTGATAATATTTTTCTCCTTTTTTAAATGATTTTTAAACGTTGTCATGAACTTTTTGGTTTTTTTATAAAACTTTACGCAAAAAAAACTCCACAGAAACTCTGCAAAATTTCCTTATCACCATCCCAGTTTTAGCATAACTTCATCTTACTTTGATAAATGCCCAACATATTCAACGCAATTTTTTTTTTGCATTCGTTCTATATTACCAGAGAAAGGAGAGAAAAAAACTGAATTTGGTGACCACTCAATACAAAAACTTAAAATCAGGGTCTAAAATTATTTTAGCACACTTGCTGTCAGTTTACCATTTGTTTGTTAGTGTCAGATAGGCGATGTTGATCGTAGGATCCTAACTTAGTATGTAGCATGTCAATTCGGATTAGACTTAATTATTCGTTTCCACCCATGCATTTTTAAGAATTTAATATCTTCTGGTACATCATTTAGGTATGTGATTAAGCCAGGTTATATTCATTTTTTTAAAATATTTGTTTCAGACTGCAATCTAAACATTCACAGACCTTGTGTCAAAACGCTAGAAGAAAACTGTCCAGGACCACTAGAACGTAAAAAAGAAAAAGGGAACGACAGAATTAGCAAATTAATGGAAAAAATCCGTCCAGAAAGAGAAACTCGACGAAAACCGAGTTCTCTCATCATTGCTCAACGTAAGTGGATTTTCTCAGAATTCATTCCTCTATTTACTACTAGTGACTTCTAAGTGTCGTGTGATCATGGATTCCACAACTTTTTTTCAACTTCATACTCAGAACTTTTTCAAGTGAAAATTTTGCCATTTCATGAAAAATCTCACTCTTTTACTAATATTTACGAAGAATAAACACTAATTATTCCGCAAAATGATTACCTCTTTCATGTAACTGCCATACTAATCAACCCAACAAAATCTACTGATCATACGACCGGTACTGTAATTGAATGCATAAAAGCCGTAATGGGACCTCTCTCTTTATTCTCATTCATCATCTTTGTTGGACTGCTCCTCATTTAAGTATCCCCCTTTATTGTATCATGAAGGTCTTGATAACCATGCTCTGTACCTGAAGATTTCTCATATATTTTTAGAGTAAAATCATAAGTCAATAAAAATCAAGTCGCTCAAAAGAACGAAGAGTAAAAAGTTGTGGAATCTACAATACATGCAAACTTTTCTGAATTGTTGAAATATTCATGGCCGTTTTGCAAAGTAGGAATGATTAGAATCTGGTGAATAGTATCGTTTCTGGTTTGTTTATTAGTGTGCTCTGTAGATTCGCTGTTCTTGGATGTGCACTCGTAAGCTGTGGGTTTGATAAATGGCTGGAGCTCTGCTTCTTCTTCGTTTTAAATTAATTTGAAGGCTCTCTGCTTATTTGACTTTGGAAGAAAATTTTTTCTCTCTCTCGTCAAGTAAACATTTTTAAAATAATGCAGAGGACACAATTGAATTTTAAATTTAACAAGGTTAAAAACTCACTGATGAAGACTATGGCACACTTTCATACCAGATGGGTTTCAGGCAGGCAGCCCATCATCCATACACCCAGTGACATCGGTGGGACAGTTGCACCTATGATGGGCTGCCTTTGAAAATTTGTAAAAATTCTCACAAATGAGCTTTTAACTTTGTCAAATTTTATATTAAATCATAATACTTGTGCGAAAAATTCCATTTCAAAAGAAGTATAGAGCATAATGCACTGTATGAATTGTTAGTTTATTTACAAGTTGTACAGTTGCAAAACAATTTAGGACAGTTTTAAAAACACTCTAAAACAGTAGTATCATGATCGAAACTTAAGTTTGTTATGAATTCATAAAAAAATAGATCCATCATAACACATCTTTTCGGCAAGGACATTTAACATGTAAATAACGAAGGGCAACAAATCACATTTGAGCAAAAAAATACACATACAAAATATTAATCCTAAATTTGGTAAAAGCAAATGAAGCCAAACTTTTTATTAAAAAAAACAACAACAACATTGAAAAGTAAATAATTGAAGGATCAAGGTTTAACTAAACTGAAATAGCGTCAGTATTGTCATGGAGCTGAAACAAAATTTAGCTGCTCTCTATAAAGCAGGTGTCGGAGGAATAAGCTTTCTCAAAAGAGAGTTTCTTTTTGGAATCAGTAATCTGTAAGACAAGGCAAGAATATTTGGAATAGAACTGGGTCAGTTGTGCCAGTCAAAGAATCTTACGTTTTGATGGTTTCAGTTTACAGATTAGAAAAATTCAATGAGATCTGCTNAATTTGACTTTGGAAGAAAATTTTTTCTCTCTCTTGTCAAGTAAACATTTTTAAAATAAAGCAGAGGACACAATTGAATTTTAAATTTAACAAGGTTAAAAACTCACTGATGAAGACTATGACACACTTTCATACCAGATGGGTTTCAGGCAGGCAGCTCATCATCCATACACCTAGTGACATCGGTGGGACAGTTGCACCTATGATGGGCTGCCTATGAAAATTTGTAAAAGTTGTCACAAATGAGCTTTTAACTTTGTCAAATTTTATATTAAATCATAATACTTGTGCGAAAAATTCCCTTCCATTTCAAAAGAAGTATAGAGCATAATGCACTGTATGAATTTTTAGTTTATTTACAAGTTGTACAGTTGCAAAACAATTTAGGACAGTTTTAAAAACACTCTAAAACAGTAGTATCATGATCGAAACTTAAGTTTGTTATGAATTCATAAAAAAATAGATCCATCAACAACACATCTTTTCGGCAAGGACATTTAACATGTAAATAACGAAGAGCAACAAATCACATTTGAGCAAAAAAATACACATCTAAAATATTAATCCTAAATTTGGTAAAAGCAAATGAAGCCAAACTTTTTATTAAAAAAAACAACAACAACATTGAAAAGTAAATACTTGAAGGATCAAGGTTTAACTAAACTGAAATAGTGTCAGTATTGTCATGGAGCTGAAACAAAATTTAGCTGCTCTCTATAAAGCAGGTGTCGGAGGAATAAGCTTTCTCAAAAGAGAGTTTCTTTTTTGAATCAGTAATCTGTAAGACAATGCAAGAATATTTGGAGTAGAACTGGGTCAGTTGTGCCAGTCAAAGAATCTTACGTTTTGATGGTTTCAGTTTACAGATTAGAAAAATTCAATGAGATCTGCTCAAAAGCTTAGTTTCTACGTCCAATATTAACAGGAATATTGCCCTTCAAGAAACACGATATGTGCCATCGTCTACTGCAGTAGCACTTATCATGAGTTCCTCCATTTTGGATTTGATAATTATTGATGTACACATTTGCACTGGTTGCTTGACTTAAAACACAGATTGAACCAAGTTGGAAGGAATCATGTTATGCACCACTGCCGTGGAAGACGTTAGACGCTGTGTTTTTGAAGGGTGATTCCTCCATCAATATTGGATGTGGAAACTTGCTACTTGGTAAAATCTTTATATTTTTTGCTGACCCATAATCTGAAATGATCCAAACACAAGTCGCTGACCAGACCAGTTAACCCATTGTCAAGAGAAAAATCAGAATGGTGAAACAATTGATCTGTATCAAATCTAAGTTAATACCTAACCAACATTCATCTTACTTTTTGTTAAGTTTATACAATTCCACAAGTCTTGACCAGACCTATGAAATCTGTCATGTACTTCCTTTGCTAATCCAAAAACGAAGCGCTGAATAAAATCATAAGTCGCGGCACATTCAACCGGATACTTTGCATTCAGGGCAAAGTAACATTTAAAACAGAAATTAAATGCTGCCGGTAGTGAATCAAATGGGAATTTTACATTATCAATTACTACCAAACTTTGAGTGATTGCTCCAGGGGGTCCTACAGCAACAGTAGTAGGCTGAAATGGTAAACATCTTGCTGCCAAGAAATTCTTCTTTTCAAGCAACTTAGCCTCCAGGTAGTCAGTATCTGGTACCCTCAAGATGAATCCATCTCTACTCTCAAGCTTTGTTGGTTTCCACGGAATTGTGTCTTTCTTGGATTTATTCACATTGCCTGCGTTACTGAAAAGTAAAGGTAACACCAACAAAGCTTCAGTACTACTGCGGTCAGATCCTGAAAGCAGGATAAAATAAAATAATTATTAGTATCAAACTTCAAGTAGGACAAGAATTCAGTTTTTTAGGCTAACTCAAGACGAAGAAAGAAGGGAAATAGGTTTCCCAAGGAAACGTAAAAACCAGTAACGTTTAGAATAGCTGTCAGGTCACCTTAAATTAACGTAGATTGTTTTTGAAATTTTAACAGGAAGAAACAGCATATATTATTGCTCCTCTGATGTAAGGGACTATCTCTATTTCTACATGAGCCGCGGCAAGCATAGAGGTATTTGGAGAATATGGCTGATGTGAAACGGAAGATATACATTTACGTCAGAGGAGCAAACAAAGTTAAATAACATAGAGACATAACATTAAAATAACATTTAAAATGTAGAATTTAGAGTGATCAAAGATAAAAATTTATCTTTATTATCAGCTGACCCAGTGCCGCTCTTGCGGTTAAACTTAGAATTACCTAATTTCATTTAGACAAATTATATTGTTTTTGAAAAATATATTAACAAAACGAAGTATAAGTAAGTAAAATGTTTAAATTTTGAAAAATCTCACCAATAAAAATGAAAACCACTATTTAAAAACTAGGATCAGATACCCTATTATCAGAATAATTTTTACTGAAGTGGTAAAAATGAAAAATCTTAAAACTTAAAAAATTTGGCGGAAATTCCACTAAAGGAATCTGCTGTATGATTGACAATTGACAATCTCTCTGATTTTGAGGATACGATCTGTTTTTATACTGACTTTCCCAGTTCTTTTTAAGTTTGTAAGCTGCTTTTTTTGTAGACAATGGTCACATGAGCCACTGAGTCCTTATCATCAGATCAACTTGTCGCTTGAAAAGCAAATAACAGTTTCGTAACATTGCGTTGAAGCGCATGTGATACTATGGCGGAGAAGTGACAATACGTTGAAAGAAATTTGTGATAAAAAATTTACACAACATATTGTTACTCATAAAAAATTTACATAAGTAAATAAACTTGCAAACTTACCATCAATGAATAGATTAACTTGTGCTCGATGAACTATTTGACGGAAAATAGGCTCCCTTAAATACTTTTGTTGGGAGTGGATCAAAATTTTTTCCGCTATATGACTCCAATTCTTAATAAAATTATCCTCTGCTGCAGGATGGGACAGTCGAAAATCCATCTCAATCTGTAACGGAAATGAATTAAACAATTAAGAAAAGGCTACTTTAGTTGTAAGCAAATTTGGCCAAGTACTAGCGTAAACGATTTCTTTAAGTTTGATGTTACAGCAGTGAGCCGTGACCAAATGTAGATACAAATAAATAATCAAGTGATCGACATGAAGAGATACAATTTGCTTTTGCTTTTTCTTCTTCTCTCAATTACTTCATGATGATTTTACACAATTAGATTAGGAGTTGGTAGTTACTTTCGGAACGGCTATTCATATTGAGCTGGTCAATATTTTTTACCGCTTTGTAAGTGCGACTTATTGCACCAAATCTGCCAAAAAGTCTTAGATGAAATCATGTGAGGTCCTTAAAATAATTTTTCTTCGTTTTCCACCGAAGTTCTCGGCTTGTCTCAATTGTCATCATAGCATGAGGCATCTTCTA